GGAGTGCATGGGCCTTGGCTCTGCTGGCACGAGCTGCTGGTGGTAGAGGCCGCTGCTCTCTGGACAGTCCCTGAGCCAGGCAGAGGCTGTTAGCTTTGTGTGAGCAGGACAGTGGGACCATCGTCAGCAGTGGGCCTGTCTGAGCCTGCTACTGAATGATCCTGTCAGGGAAGAAGCTTACCACATAACGTGTCCAGGGCAGTGACTTTGGAATCTGGCTTCAGGACCTGAGTGACGAAGATGTTTTTTATTTTTCCATGGAATTCTTTTTTGGCTCCTCAAATGTGCTTCTTTCTTGTGGTCCCTTTGCTTTCTTCCCTTCTTCCTACCTGTTAGGTTCCCCAGTGAGTCTCCATACATCTTTCCACATGGGAGATAGCAGACCTCTCTCCCCAATCTGAAGGAGCTCTGGTAGTGTAGTGGTTACGAATTGGGCTGCCAGTCTCAAGGTTGGCTGTTCAAAACTACGAGTGGTTCCGCAGGAGGAAGATGAGGTGTTCTGCTCCCGTAAAAATTACAGCCTCGGAAACGCTGTGCAGGGTCGCTGTGAGTCGGAAGCGGCCCCACCGCACATCACCAACACCACTGCCACCTTGCTCATTCTGAGGCGGAGCTTCCCTTGGGTGCTGTGTTCTCGCTCATGACCCTTCAGGGCTGTGCTACACAAAGGTTTCAGAGGAATACTAAAACATCTTTCTTGAATAGGCCTGTCTTCAGCCTTCCCTACAAAAAGTCCCATAAGTGAAACTTCAGATAGTAGCTAGTGTGAGCCCCCACAGCATGTATAGCTTCCGTTTCCTCAGGCCTTAGCAGGCCTGTAAACTCACAGTAAAGAGAGGCAGCAGTAAGACAGCACCTTTCCCAGCGGGCTGGTTCTGAAGTTCATAGTCTGCAGAGTGACAAGAGTGTTGTCAGTCTGACATGTGGGAACCCCTTTGTGGTCCATGACACATAGTGGATACTGCCTGTGGGCAGCATGTATGTGTATGGGGTGTAGGTGGTACTGCCCAGTACACAGTGGAAGGAAAGATTTGCTCTTTGATTCCACAGTGGTGGTTCTGATGCACAGTGACCCTCCATGGGGTTTCTGAGGCTGTGTATCTTTATGGAAGCAGGTAGATTCAAACTGCTGACCTTGTGGTTGGCAGCCTAACTTGTAACCCACTATACTACCAGGACTACTTATTTAAGCCACAGGATTCTTAAATGTGGACCAGTGTAGCTAAATGGTCAGACTCCACGAGGCACAAGAGGCTACGTGCATCCTGCCAGCTGCCCTGGCCACTGGTGCCCACTGACGAGGCAGGATTGCCTGCCACTTGTTCACGTCCTCCGCTCTTCTACCCTCCCACCCTGTGTGCATGCTTGTGCTCAGCTGTGAACTCAGCCACCCTGGCTCCTCCTACCTTCCTGCATAAAGTCTCCTGCAGATCTTTTTGAGGGTTTTTTTTAGGGTTTCCAGAAGGCATCTTGGGCTTGTGCCATGGCTGGTGGTACCTGCTGTGAGGCTACTGATGGCTGGGCAGGGCCACACCTGGCTGTCCTCTTGGCTCCCTCTGGGACCCAGCCATGCTGCCCTTCCCCTTCTGCGTGGCTCCTTGTCCTTGGTTGGTGAGCCATTGTCATTGGGTCTCCCATGGGGACAGCTGCTTTCTTCAGGGCGCAGGTGCCAGGCTGTGGACACTGCCTGTCTTCTCCATCTCTGTCTCTCCCTTCCTCCATAAACAGAAAACCACTTCCTCTCCTCCATTTAGAAACACTCCCCTCCTCTCCTTTTCAGTCAAATGTGGGAAACCATCTTAGCCTCAGCTAGTTGTCAGGTGTCCCATAAGTTGTACCTGAACTCTTACGAGGTGACATGGATGTAGAGATTATCTCATGGGGTGGCCCAACACAGTGGAGATCAGAGCTACCTGTTTCTTTCTCCTCCTCCCACCCAGTAGATCTATTACCAGTTGATTCCAGGTCAGGTAGAATTTTGGGATTATACAACTCAGACTAATTTTAGGATGTAAGTTGCCTATTCCCATGGACATGCAGGTGTACCTGACCTTCCTGCAGGAGGGCTTCCTGACATGGGTGGGGCTTGTCAGCCCGGAAGACTCAGTGTCTTCTCAGACCTTCAGTAGGTTGGCAGGGACTTTGGTTTTGTGTGGTTTTTGGTAGGGTTGCTTTATAAATAATAAAAAGTATTGGCTGAGGAAAATGACAGCTTCTTGCTCTCATCCTCCATGAACTTCTGGAGATTCCTCTGGAAGACTTGTACCAGGCCCAACTTAAGTAGTTATTTTCTCTATTTTAATTCAAGAGCCCGGGGCATTTGACAGCTCTGGCCACCCTTTCTGTAGGCACCCAGGACAACTGTCCATCCAAAGTGTGTTCTCAGTGCCATGCTGACTCACTGCGGCTTTGATCTCGTGACTCTGTCAGGATGGCCCTCTGTCTTATCTTTCTCGGTGAGGAATTTGAGTGCCTCAGATTCAGCTCTGCCTCCTTTGGGTACATGTGTTCAGGTGTAGGTCTGAAAAACTAGAGCCCACTCTCATCTTAGGAGGACTTGGCTTATCCGTGTGTCCACAGCTGGTTTTGAGCAACAGCCTGCCATGTGAGAGTCCTCGTCCAGGAGCTGACAGACAAGAAAATGAAGCAGACAAGACAATTTCAGTCAGTGATCAGTGCCACACTAGTAGTTTATTTAAACTTCTCTGTGCCAAGCCCTGGTCCAGGTGCCCCATGAGTTTTAACCCCTCAAATTTGGTCTTCCTTACAATCTGGGAAAGTAATAACTGTTCACATACGAGGAGATGATTAAGATCAACTTGATCAGGCCTCAGAGTTCCCTTTCACATGAATGGGCATCCAGCTCAACCCCCACCCCTGCTACAACCTGACTGAGCCACTGTGGAGGGCATTGGGTGTTTGAGCAGAAAACTGCTCCTCCATGTACATGCGAAAGGCTGGGAGAGGAATTCGGGGTCCAGGAGGTAGTGACAAGATCGGGACTTACAGTTCCTAGGGTTTGATCATGTGCTTCCTGTGGGGACCCCCATCACAGTGTGGGCACAGAGTGACACAGGGCATGATAACGCCCTGCTCATAGTGGGCGGTCCCAGATGACCTGCGCTGGGGCCTAAGGAAGGAGCTCTCGGCAGACCGAGGCTTGGTTTGTGTGGCATTTTGTGACACCAGCTGGACTATGTGGGAACTGTTGTGTTGTGTTTCCTCTTCTCCTTGACAAAACCTGTTTTCTGTTTTTCTTCAGTAGTGATCCTCCACCCTAGCTTCATATTTATACTGTAAGTGTCTTCTGGAAAATTCAGTTTCCTAGTAATCTAAGAGTTTGACTCCTGCCTCTCTTAAAATTCTGGAATAGGTTTATTTGGTGTGTATCTCTTGCATCTTCCTGGTGTGAGGGTTCAACCCCTCAGTTGCCACTTTATTTTTGGACTTGCTTCTTCCCAGTTGTTCCCTAAATGTCCATAGATACCTGTCAGAGGAGTCCTGGGACAGTCATTTGAACTACAAGGTTGGTGGTTCAAGTTCACCAGTGGCTCCTTGGAAACCCCTATACAGGGTAGCTATGGGTCGGAATTGACTCGTTGGCACTTAACAGCAACAACAACCTATCAGAAGTTTTTTTTTTTTTTTTTTAAATGTTTACTTTTTATTTCATTTTATTGTTGAGAAAATATACAAAGTAGAACATGCATGCACTGACCCAGCGGCTCCTGTGGGTGCCCTTTAGGGACAAAGGTTGTCTTCCAGTCAGGCACTGGTCTCAGCCTCCCTCATCCATTAACATACGGTCACGTCCCCTTAAGGTTCCTTGGAATCTCTCAAGGTACCAGGATGAGTGTGATCCCACAGTTGTTAAGAGTATAATACTCAATGTAGACTTTTTTCCTAGTTAAGCTAAAGTATTGTTTGGTTTTAAGAATACTTCAGGAGATATTTTTGGTGGTTTAAGGTTTAAAGATCAGACGATGTATTGCATTGGGCAAATCTGCTGCACAGGAACTTTTTAAAGTACTGAAGAGCAGAGATGTCAGCTTGAGGACTAAGGTGCGCCTGACCCAAGCCATGGTATTTTCAATAACCTCATATGGATGCGAAAGCTGGACAGTGAATAGGGAAGATCGTAGAAGAACTGATGCCTTTGAGTTGTGGTGTTGGAGGAGGATACTGAAAGTGCCATGGACTACCAAAAGAACCAATAGATTTATTTTGGAAGAAGTGCAACCAGAGTGCTCCTTGGAGGCCAAGATGGCCAGGCTTCGTCTCTCATACTTTGGACACATTGTCCGGAGAGAACAGTCGCTGGAGAAGGATGTCATGCTGGGTAAGGTGGAGGAGGGTCAGAGAAAAAGAGGAAGACCGCCAACGAGATGGATCAGCCAGGTGACATCATTGATGGCGTCAAGTGTGGCGGCAGTAGTGAGGTTGGCCCAGGATCGGACATTGTTTCGTTCTGCTGTGCATGGAGTCGCTATGAGTTGGTTCCGACTCGATGGCACCTGACAACAATAACAACAAGAAGGTTTAAAGATGGCTTTCTGGCAGTAGTTTTAGGGGTTCATCCAAACTTTATGGCTTCGGGAAGTCTGGAATTTGAAATTCTGTTCTACAGTTTTTTTGCTTTTGATTATATATAATCCTGTAGAATCTTTGATTAAAATGTTCAGTACTGGTAGATGGGCATCACCTACTTCTTATGGTCTTGTGTCAGAAGAGGCAGTTGTTCATAGGGGCAATTAACCACACAGTCCATGTCCTCCTCCTGTTCCAGACTTTCCATCAGAAAGTTTATGGAAAAATGGAATTAAAAGATAGTAGAAATTTCCCACAAACTTTTGAAGTCCCCCTGTTGTAGGCAGTCCCAGGTTATAAA